TAAATATTTACAATTCATAAATTTATTAATAATATTGTCGAGTCAACTGTTGTTCATAAAATTTTTATAAATATATTATTTTCATGGATTTGCTTATGTTGAATTGAAAACAGTTATGTTTTTTAATTATATATAGGGAGGATATAAAATTTCTTATATTTTCTTATGTAGTATTTATTTTTTTTTTCCCGGAACGATAGAGGTAGTATATAAAAGCACAAAAGTGCAAAAGAAACAAATTACAAGACCCCGACAGGATAATTCTAAGACCCCAACAGGGTAATGAGACAGGGTCAGCGGCCCAAACCAAAAACACCCTAAAAACAAACCGGAATAAAAGACTGAGAGCACACGCACATGGCGGCCTAGAGAACTCCACGAACGAAAATAAAGGAAAATGAAAAACAAGCCACTGCACAATGCCCAGCATGTATTCATCTCCAAACCAAAAGACCCAAACAAAAACGAAAACACGAAACACAAATATGAATACTAAAACAAGAACACAGAAAAACTAAAAAATTTAAACGCCCTTCCCCATCGAACGAGCAAGCCTGAACCAGCAGTGGACGATCGACACAAGAAAGATCCAGGCCCAAAACCAGCTACCGAAACTGCAATCAAGCCTATACAGCAGCAAAACTCTAACCCCGAACCAATCCCAGAATCGACCCATCAAAACCGAGAGAGCCAAAGTCCACCCCACACCGATTCTAACCGAACTTGTCTAACACCAATAGACGAGGTCAATAGAACCTCCCTGCCGCCTAACACCACTAGACCAACGGGGATAGCGCGAGAGAAACCCGACCCTCACCCCAACCGCTGCAACCGGAGCCGCAGAAATCGGAGCTCCACCCTGCCCGAAGACAAACACGCCGCTCAACACCGCCACAGAGAACCGAGGACCAGAGACCGGAGTCCCACCCAAGCGGCGGAGCCCTGCCGGAAGGCAGAATTCGAAAATCGCAAACAGAGGAGAGTGGAGGGGCATACCATCGCAAATCGGATAACCACCGACGAATGAGGGGGAGACAACACTCGCTGGCCAGTCGTCGACCACGAAGGACGCCACCAACGACCGGAACCTCGTCGACGACCAAGAATCTGACCTCCAATCGCGGATCTGCCACAACAACATCGAGACGTGCTTCATCAGGGGAGGAAGGAGCGGAAATTGGCGACCTAGCCAGGGCATCGCCGTCGACGAGGAAGACAATCAAAACCGGAATTGAGGAGCGCCGACTGAGAGATTGGGGGAAAGGGTTTCGGAGGTTTCGAATTTATTTTAGAAAATCTTAAATATTATGTAGTATTTATTGAAAAATTGTGTTTACAATTTTTCTATTAAAAATATATTAAGCACGTGAACTTTTTAGTTCCTATAATTTTTTTT